TACTTAAATATCTTCTTCATTAAAGAAAGTTTCTTTAAATAAGTCTCACTCTGAAATATCATCTGCATAATATTGTTTGAGCATATATATCAGCAGATCAATATCTTCTTTTAGTTTGATATAATCTGGTCTTCATAATAATATGTCAGCTGGATTACACTTCTCAGAGCAGTAGAGAATCTCAAAGTCATATGCTCTAAGAATCTCTATCCATCTTATATGTTATGATTATGCCATCTTATTTATGAACTTTATAAATAAACAAAGATTTGCATAATTTATAATAATCTCTACAGAGTACTTTGTTTCTTCTAAGTACTGCTGCCAATAAATAAATACTTGAATGATGGCCAACATCTTCTTATCTGGCATGTTATAGACTTATTAAGTCTGATCAAACTTGAATAACCAGTAGATAACTGGATACCATCTGTCATCAAACAGCTGTAGCAATATTATGTCTGCAGCATGTTCTAAAGTATTCATTTCCAGACATATTTTATATTCTGAATTGTAGTAGTAGATGACAGATTCTGTGAAGAAGACCACTTTTAACATATGAAATGCTTCTCTGATAGCAGATATTAAAAGAAGTAATCTCTTCTTTTACTTATTTTCACTGTCTTTTAAGAGATCTGTCAACAGCACCACAATAACTAAGTACTTTTGTATGAATCTCTGATAGAAGTTTGCAAAACCCAGAAATACCTGAATATTATAGAAACTTTATAACAAGAGCCACTTCATAATTATCTGTACTTACTTTGGATCCATCTTAATATCTTTATTATCAATAATACATTCAAGATATAAGATTGTTTGTCTTTTGAAAGTGTACTTAGCAAGTTTTGTAAACAACTGGTATTTTCTTAAATACTTCATAACTAGTCTAATGTGTTTCTTGTGCTCTTTCTCTCAGACAGAGAAAATAAGAATATTGTCTAGATAAACTACACAGTATATGTCAATCAGATCTGCCAGTGCTCTATTAATATAAAACTGAAAGATTGCTGGTGTATTTAATAATCTGAAAGATATAATAAGATACTCAAAACTTCTAAACTTTGTATAAAATATGATCTTTCATTTGTCTTCTTTGTTGATTCTAATCTAGTGATAGATATTATGTAGATTTATCTTGAAAAATTAGTGTGCTTCTGCTAATCAGCTTAACATCTTGTCTATTAATGGCAAAAAGTAACAGTTCTTCACTGTAATTGTGTTAAGCCCATAATAATTAATACAGAGTCTGAGTTCTCTATTAGTCTTGAGTACAAACAATACTGGAGTTTCTGCCAGACTTTATAATGAATGTATTTAACTTTTGCATAACTTGTTCTTGATATACTCTTGTAGAATTTCTGTCTACTTGAATGATAGTTTATAGATTAGCATGTATGAGAGCTTGCAGTCATCTTTAAGAATAATTAAATAACTAATCTTTATTAATTCTAGCAACTCTGCTGCTTTTCCTTCTGAGAAAACATCTTTATAGTCTCTTAACCACTCAGGCACTTCTGTCAGAACTTGATTATTATCTGATGTAAAAATAATATAAGAGAGTTTGTTCTTGATGCATACTGCTTGAAGAAATTTATCTGTATTCAGAAGTTTCATCATTTTCTTTAAGAGTTAATAATACTATATCTTGTTCTTCCAGTTTATATCCAGGTTGAAATCTTCTAATTATAGCATGTCTAGAACTATATTTACTTTAATCATGTTGATTACTGTAAATGTATGTCTTATTATCTTTATGGTTCTTATGAAGTTTATTATAGTAAGTTAAGTCTTGTAGATACTGTACCAATCAGCCTCAGCTCTGTTCAATATCTTAATAACTTCTATAAACATTTCTGATTAATTTCAGTTCAATTAAAATGCCAGTTTATAAAAGATACTATTTACTGTAATACCTGAGTTTAACAGTGCAGCTTGCTCTGTAAGATCATCTGATAATGTAGTCAGTGTGGCTAACAGACACATACTATGTCTGTTTGTCTTCTCTGTTGAATTAATATTCTATCTTTCTAATATTTAATCTGGATCTTGCATAAGCTTTATAATTCTAGCCTTTATCTGGTTCTCATTCTTTTTGTCTATTTGCTGGAACTTGTTAAAGTTGTTTGTACAGAACTTTGCTTTATAGTCTGGTTAGCTATATCTTAAACAGAGCTTTTTATTTATTTGTTGTTTATGTTTCTCTTCTGATATTTTTGAAAGTGGTTTCACTAATATTTTCTTTATTTATGGATAATCTTCTTTATTGTCTTGTTGGAATGCATTCTTCTCTTAAAAGATAGAGATTTTCTGTTTCTTCTTATTTTAATTCTTGTTCCACTGACTTTGCTTTTTCTTTTCTAAAATGAACTCAATAAGTATTACTTGTTCTTGTAATTCTGTAATTATTTTTAGTTGATGTTGCAGTTTATTCAGTTCAGTCTGAATAATTAATCTGAGCTTTATCTGTAGAAAGAGTACATAAAAAAATTTATCTGATAGACTGTTCAGATTCTGTTTGAGTTCAGTAATGTATATGAAAAATAAGAGTATAGATTAGTTCTCTTGTTAAATAGTATTATAATAATACTGCATTATATCTTAACTACAAGTTATCTTGAGTTCAATATTGTTCTTACATCATATTTTGAATTTATTCTATAATATAAGTAGTTATTCTTTCTCTATTTCCAACATCTGTCAATGCATCTGGAGTTTGTTATAAAAATAACTGAATGTCTAATCAATTCTGACCACATCTGGTGCCTTTTGTAGTGATTTTCTCAGATGAAATTACTATCTTATTAAAACTAACTCTAGTTTACACTCATCAAGTGATTTGCTATAATAATAAGATGTCTTTAAAGACTTCACATTGTTGAAATTGTCTGACTTCTCTATTAATCATGTGCATAAGAGAAACTATAAAGAGAAATTGTTGTTTGCTATTTTCTGTTTGTATTCTATCTGCTTCTGCAGTCTATATATCTTGTTTTGTTTATATATATCTGCTAGATTCTTTTGCAGACATGTCTTCTTTTCTTCAAAAATCTTTTCTCTTCAGATTTTATCTAATATATTGAGAGATGTATCTCTGTTATCTGTATTATCTGCTAGTGTCTTACAAGTGACAGCTTTACTACTATCAGCATCTTCATCAATATTCATCTTTTTTATATTAGTGTCTACCTCTGTCAGATCTGCAACATGAGATGTTGTTGTAATTTATCTTGTGGGTCTTGGTGGCATTGTACTGACTTAGATAATCATATGTCAGAGTGTTCAGAATGTTAGAAGAACCAGTTATAGATTATGTAGGTTTTCTCAGAATTAGAGGTACAAAAGAGCTAAGTAGATATAATATCTGCAACTAATGAGAGAGAGTCATGTGTAGAATGTAGAGATTCTCTAACTAGAAGACTGAATGCTGAGATTCCTATAATCTGTGCAGATTATGAGATTCTTATATGTTCAGAGTTGGGGTTACATGAGTACCTCTGAACATCTGATGTTATCCAATGCTTGGTTGGTCTAGATCTATATTTGTAATAGATGCAGAAGTCTGCACATTCAAGAATCTACAACACTTCATTAATAAGAGAGGAGCTACAACAATATACAAAAAATCATCTTGATAACTTTATGCCTCAGAGTTCAAGATCTCTGAAAGAGAGAATAGTGTTATAAATGTATGTCTAGACTAACCTTGCATTAGATGATATCAGATGTTCGGAAAACATTACATGGCCTATATATCTAAATGTATAAGAATCACACAATTTTTACAGATTGTGGAAATCTCAGTATTCAGTTTTCTAGTTAGCAGATCTATATATTTTATACATGACTCTCTCTTATTAGTTGTAGGCATTGCATCTACTTAACTCTTTTGTACCTTCAAAATCTAGAATGACCCATGAAATCTATAACAGAGCTTTTTAACACATAGAATATATAGATCTGCTAACTAGAAAACTAAATACTGAAATTTCCACAATCTGTAAGAATCATGCAATTCTTATACATTTAGAGGTATAGGCCATATAATGTTCTCTGAACATCTGATGTTATCTGATGCTTGGTTAGTCTAGGTCTATATTTGTAACAATAGGTGCAAGACTAGCTTTTTTAGTTACTGTCTCTCATGGTTCTGTTTTTCCTATTCTTTTACTCATAAGCATCTATCTTGTAGAATGAAACAAAGAAATATGTAATATTATAGGCCAAGCTGAAGTTACTAGCTAAGACTCTATATACACAAACATATTGCTTGGGGAAAGAGAAAAAAGATGGTAGGCAAGAATATGTACAATATATTATCTATATTTGTATGTGATACTAAGCCAAAAAGAGAATAGTATGAAGGTCTCTTACACAGCATGCTGTTGAGGGCTCAGTTCAAGAAGATCTTCTACATGGTATGCTATCAAGAATTTGGTTTGAGAAGAGTAGGGGTTCAACTCTCTACACAGCTGCTGATTAGTATAGTGTTTATATTTAGTAGAAAAATCAAAAAAATCTACTTAATAAGTATAAGAGATTTTAAAACTCTACTTTAAAAAAGATTTTAAAAGCTTTTAAAATCTCTCTAGTTTATGCTATAAAGATTGAAGCTGCTATTTCTCCAGTCAAGGTAAAATTTAATAGACTATATAGAACTATGCTTATAAACTATTAAAAATACCAAAAGAATACACAATCAGAAAATGAGTATCTACTAGCTTTCCATCTTATAATAATGGTGTTGATTCTGATTGGAGAAGGTTTTTAGACTGAAATTAATCAGTATAATTTCCATTTGCGTCTAGGGGCCCAGCTTTGTGCTCGCATCCCATGCAGTTTAGCGTTATCCTCATTAGGTCTAGCGCCACCTGTTCTGGGATTCCGTCTCAACTCCGTACAGGCCGCCGTGATCTCACCTCGCGTCGCCCGCCGCGACTTACACTCACTCACGGGGCAGCAGGGATTATTTCGCCATATCGTTGGCCACGAAGTATCAACCAGCTTTCCGTTTTCATCTCCATCAGTCCATTTTCGGTACAACACCTTTCTCCGCCATCCTCTTTCGAGAAGATCTCCCGTTGCAACGTCAAGTTAATTTTTTTTTTCCCTTATCTTCCTGGTTTGGTTTCTGTGATTCTGGAAATCGCACCCTTCCCTTTACCTCGACCTCCGCTGTGTGGTTGTCATGGATAACAAGGTCGACGATGACAAGATTGGGCCTGGAGTGGAACTCTGCGATCCCGTCCGCCTGAAGCTGCTAAAAGAGCTGCAGGACATTGTGGGCCGAGTTCCTCAGAAGGCTCAGGCTTCTTTCCTCCTCTGCGATCTTCAGTACCTGCAAGACTTGCGCAAATCGTCTATCAATCCTGTTGTGTTGGAAGCTGTGCAGCGATCGCTTTCCGACTCGAAAGTAGATGAAATCGTGGCACAATGTTAGTTTGAGATGCCCTTCCTGAGTTGTTGTCATGATTGACATATCCATTTTACCTCTGGCAGGGTGTCAATTATCCCGTCCACATTCCACCGCCTCTCCTGCCCGATCCCTCTCGCTATCACACGGTCATCCGAAACCATCGCCACTTAAACATCTAGCTGTCGCAAACACCAAAGCACAGGCTCCAGAAGAGCAAGAGGAGACTGAGATTCCGTCTCAACCTTCTAAGCGAAAACGGAACGGCTCTCGGAGTCGAACCTCCTGTTCAAGCGGGAAGAGCAGATCTCAATATGTCAGTGACGAGGTCAGTTTGCCTTCTTACTCTGTACTGACTGAAGTTATATTCCATTTCTGACAACAGGCTATAGTGTAAGAACCGAGACGCTCACAGATGCGTCGTCACCAAACTCGCAGGACCGATAGACGCTGCACATATCGTTCCTTTCTCTCTGAATAGAGAGGACCGGCGAGCGAGCTTTTTCAGCTTGCTCAAAACTTTATGGTCCCAACGCATCGAAAAATGGAAAAGTCTCCTTGAGAACGGCACTGAGTTTGTTGAAAATATGATCTCTTTTACTCCCACCATCCATCGGTACCACTCAGCGGGGCTGTTTGGTCTTCAGCCCATCGAAGCCTCTTTGGACGGTAAATCACTGAAACTCAAGTTTTACTGGCTTCCGCAACGTGAAACCCCCAGCGATACTATGACCGATATCACAGATATCCCAACCCTTCCCGATGATGTCGAGTTGGAAGATATCAAAATCTGCAATGGCAAGGATGGGCACCTCATCAAGTCAGGTGAAGTCATAGAGCTGACAACATTGGACCCTGAAAAACGACCGCTGCCAAATTGGGATCTACTGGAAATGCAATGGGTACTGCAACGTCTGACGGCCCTGAGGGGAGCCGCAGACTTACCTGACACAGTCCTCGATGAGTCTGACGATCTCGCGAGCTTCGGGTACTCTGAGATGGAGGCAGACAAGATTTTCGATGAAGGGCTGGGTGGGTGGTGCAAGCAGGGCGTTGATGAGGAGGCCATTGAGGAGGACTGCTGGTCTGGCAGGGTCAACAACTGGATTGACACGCAGCAGATCCAGCCACAGATTATTTGATGTTGATTTGTCACATGGTCTTCCAGGCGATTGCGTGGCTGTTGGGTGGGTAGGTGCGTGCGTGCACGCGTCACTTTTTGACACCAAGAACTACCAGAAACAGCTGCACTGACACAAATCAAAATTTTATGGGAGAATTAAATAATAAATATGTTAAACAAACATCAAGTAAAAGAAAAAGAAGAAAAATCAATAAACAAAAGAAGTATTCAAGTCAACAACAATTATTTAGAATTTGTTCAATGATTTCAACTATATTATCTTCTCTAAAAACAGAGAAAATTAAAGCAAAATGAAATGCACCTGTTAGGAGCCCAGCTAGGCACTGTAGGAAGAGAATCCTTGTTGCCAACTAGGTAGCTATAATAATGAAATACTAAGACAGGCTCTAGAAAGAGGGCTCAGAGCAAAGGCTTACTATATACACACACTAAGCTTCTGTGTTAGATAAATATTTATTCTTTTAGCAAATTCTCTGTCTAGAGTGTAGGACTTCACTCTAGAACAATCTTCCCCCAGTTCACCAGCTTTGTCAGAAGAGTTGTAATTCTTAAGGTAGTTCACCACTAAACGAGCCACACCACTAAATGAGCCAAATTTTCCACCACCAAATTCCTCCAATATTCAACATTCAATATGCAACAACATGGTCAACAATGCCTCAATTAGGCTTGCAATTGAAGATCTTGAATTGCAAGAGACCCCAAATTATGCTGCAACTGTAAGAAAGTACTCAGTTAATCAAGAGACCCTGCACTGATGGCATAAAGGCTTGCAACTTGCTCAGGATGAAGCAGCCTCCTGATATAAGAAAAAGCTCTCTGATATACAGGAGGCAGAGCTCCTGAATTATATAAACAAGCTCTCTAGCCACAGCCTTGCCATTACACCTCAGATCCTACAAAATATTGTACAAGAGATGACAGAAGAGAATGTTGGAATCAACTGGATTAATTGATTTCACAAGCAGCATAATAACAAGATTAAATGCATTTATCTTAAAGCAATTGATCAAAACAGGCAGGTAGCAGATAACTATCAGTGCTTTAAGCACTTCTATATGCTTGTAATTTGATGATTTATTTGATTAATTGTGATTGCAGTTGTTGATGCTGGCTAACTATTTGATACTTATGGAGTAGTTGAAGCAGAAAATCAATTAATATAATCTTGAGCTCTCAAACATCTACAACTTTAATAAAAAAGAATTTCTTCTAGGCTCCTGCCATGCCTTAAAGTGATTAGTCTCTATTGAAGCTCTACAAGCTGGAAAAAATGCCACCACTCAGAATGATAGTTAGAAATTTCTCTTATTGCTCTGCTCAGTCTCTGCTGAAGGAATTGCACTACCTTCAGCTCTTATTTACCAGAGTGAATTATGAGATCTCCAGAATACATGACTAGATGATTATGATGGAAGTGAATGGGCCTACTTTGCAGCTTCAACAAATGGTTAGAGTAATAATGAATATGGACTGGAGTAGTTGAAACAGGTTTTTAATAAGCATACTAAGGAACAAGCTGGTTGAGAAAGATGTCTGCTTCTACTAGATAGGCATTCCTCCTATATAAATATGAAATTTATCAAATATGCTGACTGTAAAAAGATTCTTCTTATGATTCTCCCATTACATTCAACCCACCATTTGTAATCTCTTGATGTTGGAATCTTTAGGCTGCTGGGCAAGGCATATTTGAACAAGCTAAAAGCACTACTATGTTACAGAATGAGCTATATTTGAATGACAAAAAAGAATTTCTGAAGACTATTTAATGTGGCTTGGAAGAAGACTTTGACAGTTGAAAATATACTTGCTGGCTTTGCAAAGACTGGAATTAATTCTCTGGATTCTCAACATCAACTATACCAATTTGAAACTGCTCAAGCCCCTATACTGCCAGTTAAATCTTCTATTTCTAGCAATATGCACCAGCTCCAATAAGAGATCAAGAGTATATATCTCCAGCACAACCTAAATTTACAGAGCATTAGACAGATTATTCAAGTCAGTAAGCAGTTTGCTCTTTATAATGAACTACTGGAACATGAGAATCAGCATCTAAGATTAACTCTAGTGACAGAGAAGCAATGCTGCAAGCAAGGCAAGCCCCTAGATCTACTTAATAGAGATAATTCTAGTCAAGTACAGCTCTGGTCTCCAATAAAAGTTCTTAAGGCATGCAAGTGTCTGGATGAAATAGAGGCTGAAAAAGCTGATAAAATTGCTCAAATACAACAGGCAAAGCTTCAACAGAAGCTTCAAAAGAAGCAGACTGCTAGAGATGCTGAAGAAAGATGAATTGAATAAGAGAATGCCCATAAAAAGACCTGTAAGCAATGAGAGGCCAAAAAAATCAAATATGCTAGAGAAAGAGAGGCACAACATGTTACTTGTGAGAAGAAGAAGGCTTTACAACTAGCAGAGAAGGAAAAATGAGCAGTTGAATGTGCTACTAAATGTTAGCAGTCAGGGCTTCAAGCACTGGCTTCAAAGTGCTGTTGGAAGGACTCCCCTACTAAAGATTCTCATTGTAGAGAGCCTATACAATCTTCTAAAAGGGGAAGTAAGAGCTCTACAAGCCTCTCTAGCAAGGTATTAGACTCTCTAGTCAAGAAATCTACTGTTGACATTCCTTTGAATTCTTTCCTATCTACCCCCCAGATCTCTTGCTCTGGCTGCAATATTAGACTGTCCACCCATTTATTTTTCTAACTACACTAATTTCTATGCTTCAAAGAACACATTCATTTAATATTTAATAGCTATTTAATAATAAAGATCTGGTTGTTGAGATATTTAATAAATTTGTTGCATGGAGCATTTGGCAAAATTTGGCTTGTTTAGTGGTGTGGCTTATTTAGTGGTGAACTACCTTACATCATCTCTCTACCAGCTCCAGGCATGCCCTCATGCTAGCAGATCATCAGCTTTCTTATTCAGAAGATATTCTTCTAGCTCTTAAGACTCTAACTATTTATCTAACTGTCTCAGGGATCCAGACTTTGTAGAATTCACTGTGTGAAAAATACAAATCTTGTGCAGGCATCTCTTCAGATTTCAGACAAAATACTATATATAATTTAAATTGAACTTTAGCTATTTAATTTAATATTGAAGCTTTCTTCTACAGATTTAGCTTATCAGAATCTTATTTACTTTCTATTTATTCTTATTATAGATTATAATAAAATTAAAAGAATCTATACTCTGGTCAGAGAGAGGATTATTTGCAGCTTTTCTAAGCTTATTCAGAAAGAACATGAGATGGATTTTTATAAAACTTGATAGTCAGAGCTAGTAGCTATTATCTACCTTATTTACTATCTCAAAAGAGTCTTTATTCTACTCCACCAGCTTTCTGCTTAATTAACCAATATTATAGTTCTTCAAGATAGAAATATCTTATTTTCAATACTGAAATTAGATTTATAGTAATACTTATTTATCTAAATCTTTATAACTCTCTGTATGTTCTTTATATTTTGTTAAGCTTTATTTCACATCTTTTATAAGAATTTCATTTATCTCTAAGTCTTTTTCTGGCTAATTTTTTTGTTCTGGAACAATAAAGCTTTCTCTAATAGCTGTTCTTTCTAATTAAAAAGGGTTCTTAGTTTATATTTATTTACTATCTTGAATACTGAGATTTCAGTACTAGTGCTAATTATAGCTACTATGTGGTCTATTATTAGTAGAAGGTCATTTTAATTATTCTAGTAATGATTGATATATAATCTCAGACATGTGGTCAAATACTAATTTGTAATCTCAATCTGCTTATTTATTTAAGTATAATAAGCTGTAGAGAACTTTAGTCTAACATTCAGAATTCTTCTAATCTTCTTTCAGAATTTTGAAATAAACTAAGACTCTTGATTTGAGGTAATAATATTTGAATCTTTATAGTACTAATAGTACTCTTTCTGTTATAGATCTTGTGGCATAACAGCTGAAGGTACAGAATAATTGGATGAGATCTGACAAGATAAAGTCACAGACTATTGTGGAGAAACCTTAGGACAGAAAGTCACATGACCAGCAATAAGACTGATAAGATGACTGATCACATCAAGTATAATAGAACTAATTGAAGAATATAGCAAGCATACTGCAGTAGAGTGAATAGAATAGCTTAGCAGAACTATCACCAAAAGCATCATGTATATAAAAATGCTTATTACCAGAAATCTAATAGACTTGTTTATTATAATTAATCTTTCTACCTATCTTACAGATATCTTTAAATCAGATACTCTCATATCTTGATTACTTTTATATTATTAAAGTTCTGTAATACTGTATGATTGTATCTGATTCTGCTATTCTTGAAAAAGCATGATAGTCTTATTCTGACTCTAATATATCTGTATGAAAACTCTTTGTCATTAGAGCAAGACTGCTCACTTAACTGAAGCATTATTAAACTATTAATTATTATCTCTAATTTGTTACAACTCTTCTTAGAAACTTTGATTCTTACTATAACCTAAGAATCTAAAAGAGAACTGCAGGTTGCACAATATCTTGAACCCAACATAACATATTAATTATTTCTAACTCAGAAGAGAATACATCTGAAATCTCAGAAATTGCATACAAAGAAAGAACTTTCTGTATTATATTAAAGTATAAAGATATAATCTCATTCTATGTCAAGATCTAACAAAATATAGAAACCATATCTGTATTTAAGATATCAGCTATCAATATTCAAGATCTTATAAATAGAATCTTGCAGCTTGACCAGCTTATCAAGAAGCTTAAAAAGCAGAACTGTGAATTAAAAAATTATAATAAACAGCTTGAGACTCAAGTCATGGCCATTTCATTCATCAGACAATAAGAAAAGAAAGATAAAGCTAAAGTTAACTTACTAGAACTCTTCAAGAGTAAATAAGAAAAATTATAAGCTTTCTTAAGACAACTGCACATCTATATAAATATGAAAAACAAAGAACTCAGCAACAATAAAAATAAAATAATAATAGTAGTATTATATCTTTGCAGAGTAGCATTTAATTAGTTTGATATCTATTTATAAAATTACTACAAAAGAAATAAAGTTGATCAGAATAACAACATGCTTAAGATTATTAATAATTACATCACTTTTATACAGACATTAAAAACCACTTTCAGAGAAGTTAAGAAACAAAATGTAGCAGCTTAACAGTTACATTATATATAACAAAAGACATTGTTACAAGACTATACTATAAGATTCCAGCAAGTCTGTGTTAACACTGATTAGAACAATGAAGTTTTAGCTGA